GACGACATACGGAACGGGGATCACGCTACTGACGGCGCGGTTCCTCGCCTCTCCCCGTTCAACGTGACGTCGCTTTAGTCGTCGCGTAATTTCACTCCCTTCTCTCGTCTTCCGGGTTCGTGCCGAGCGTTTTTTTTTTTGGCTCTCCAGATGCGCGTCCGTGTTGCCAGTCTCGATCAGAGCGAGAGTCCGCGCTTTGAACCTGCGGATTTGGAAAATTCCCACTTGCCTCGGCCCTCAGCCAGAAGACTCCAAAGCGGTTATGAGCTAGCTTTGCGGACACAGACAAATAAAAAAAAAAATCTGAATTTTTTTTTTTTTTTTTTTTTTTTTTACATTTTGAACGTTGTTTTTACATTTCACGTTCGCCCAGAGCGATAACCTAGTAAAATGTGGTCCTCGATAGCCCGTCTAAGCCAAGTGTGAAAACGGGGCCGTGTTTCTGCGGTGCATCGATACAGAGAACGTCGAAATGCGGTATTCCGTCCTATCTGAAGGCGATATTCCGGCGTCTCTTGAGCACGGCCACATTCGGCACGTCGCCGCTTCTGTTCAGGTGCACCCTGCTCGGTCCGCTTTTTCTTCTTGCAAGGCATTGGGAAGACTCCGCGGCGCATGCAGTGAGCGTCTCGTTCAGCGCGCATGCGCGTGGAATAGAGGGAACGACGGCACGGTACATTACTTCCCCGCGCATACATGCGTCTCGATGTGACGACCGGAATTTCACAGGGGAATGGGGTTGGGGGATTGACTTAAAGAAATTGAAAAATATCGTATTAGGGGGAAAATATGGCGGGGTTGAGTGTTTGTGCTGAAGGTGTCACTCATTTTGAGAATCGCCTTCACGTATAATGTACGCTTGGTCGGAGCACCAGTCGCTGATCTTTCTTTCAGCCGCTTCGCCAGCCGTGATGGAAATTCTGGCGGGAATCGCCGATGCAAAATGGGGGACGAAAGGACCTGCGTTTTTTCTGAGACACAGACTGTAGGACCCGTTCCGATATCGTTTATCCTCCTGACTAATTATGCTTCCTTTCAGCTGAAGTTCAGACGCAACCGAGGTAACGACATAAGGGCACCAATCTAGCAGCCTCAGGACCGCAAGTCACTGGTCCTTTTTTTTTTTTTTTTTTATTCGTAATGTTTTGATTGCTAATGCTTTCCCCACTCCGAGGGGAGTGGAAAAGCGTTCCGACAACCAGTTTTAACTTTTAAGCCCGGGACGTTTTCTTCTCGTTGGAACTGCAATTAGAGGAAGCGTGATGTTCTCACTTGTTTTTTTCTCGATTTGAGCTGCTTCTCGAGTTTCGATGGTGTAGGCGTGAAGGCGTGAACCAACATATCAATCAGTGTGGAATGTTTGTGAATAAAGCGCCACGCGTCATTTGCAACTCAAAACAAATTTATACATTAATCGAACCAAGAAAGAGAGACGCACACGCAAGGAAAACAGATCAAAGAAGCCATCGGAAGGGGAAAACAAACCGAGAGAATTCTGATGTGAAGAGAGCGAGACGCAGCTCCTTCGACAGTCTGATGAGCTTCGGACAGGCGCGCGAGGAACTCAATCGGGGCCCTCGCTGCGGCACCTCTTCCTCGGTCGGCGATCAAGCGGCTCCTCGACTTCCGCCGGAAGCCAGGCTGTTGTGCGCCCGCCGCGCGGCGGCTCGGCTTCGCACGCCGCGTTTCTCGGGAATCGACGACGACTGTCGATGGAATAATCTTGGGCAGCCTCGCTTCTTTCGCATGCATTCGCGTGGGGTGCATACATCTCGGGGCCGGCTCGCTCGCCTGCCTGCCGCGCTTTGTTTCCAGCGGAAGGGAGCCCCCCCGCCCGTATGCTAATGGCCACCGGCGATCGCATGCGGCGGCCCCAACGCCGAGGCGCGCCTGGCTCAGCGCCTTCTTTGAGGCCCGTGTTCATATTCGGGCGGCCGCTGCTTGGGCCGTGTTCTCGGTGTTACGACGAGGGCGGCATGCGTGGGCGAGCCGCTGATCTTCTCGGCAGCCGACGTGTGTTTCCAGAGGCGGATCGAAACTGGAGCGGGAATCAACTCATGAATCGCGTACCGGGCCGGCACGCGGTTCCAACGGGCACTGCTCACTGGGTCTCGTTCTCGTTGTCGGCGGACGCTCGATCGCTTAATTGTTCGTTATTCGTCCACATTTCGAGCGTTGTTCGCTGCGATTCCTCGGGTATTGTACATTGCGAACAACGTTATGGCCATTTGATGTTTTCGCCGTGAGTTCTCGTCGGAAGCGCTTCCAATGGCTAGTCCAGTGTGGGGCTTGTGTCATTTGTGTGACTGTTCTTTCTTTGTTTTCCTTCGGGCAGAGCCCGAAAGAAGGGCCAGTGCAAAAGGCTAAAAAAGCCTGACGTGGCACTGGTCCCTTACAGTCCACACATACAAAAATAACATGAAAATGCATTTCATCTAACAAAATAATACAGCGGGATAAAAAAAAACTTTTACAGAACTGAGGCACACATACATAACACAAATGCAACAATAAAAGCCACGTATATAAGGATAAAAATGCGTGCTGAATGCAGAAAACAAGAATACAGACTATCATCCACATGAAAGAAAAAACAAGTCATCTAAGGAACACACAAATAACAAACATCATTATCGCTCACTTTACAGAAACTGAACAGTGTACACCCAGCAAGGCGAGTCATGCACGTAAATTAAAGCGAGGATCAATTTTGAAGGTATAAACTATAATACAACACTTTATTGGGATTAGGAAGCTTAGATAAATTTTATAAATTTTATATAAATTTTATATCGCTGCCTACCAGCAGTGCTTTACATTCTTTTTTAAATAAAGGGAACGACATTGCATAGTTCATAGAGGGCATGTTATTTAATAGACTAATTGTTTGATAGTGTACACTCTGCCTTCCGTAATTTGTTCTTGTATAGGGTTCCCGCCTTTTAACATGACGGAACGGGTACAGTTCTTCTGTTGCAACTGGGGTGGCGTATAACCTTTTTAGATAAATTAATTGAAATAATTTGAAGTAATATACTTGAATTGCCTTTAAGATCTTGTATTTATTAAAAAGTGGTTCCGTTCGAAGTTCTCTTATTCTCCCCCCCTAGTTTTCGAATATACGTAGAACTTTTTTTTGTAGGATTAGTAATTTATAGTAATCAGATGCTGTAGTTGTGCCCCATATTTATTTATATTTTATAAATAAAATATAAATAAATATGGCCCCATATTTCTTTATATTTTTGGAAAAATATAAAGAGTAATACAATGTTTCCTCCTCCACCTCGGCACAAGGCTTACCACTCTATAAATACAGCCAAGGACTCGTGATAATTCTGACTTTAGTTTATTCACATGTGTATTCCATTTTAGCTCTTGGTTAAACCACACACCCAGAAATGTTTGCTCAGTTACTTGATCTATTAAATCACCTTCAAACGTAATCTTAATGGAGCTTGTAAGACGTTTTGCTGCTGGTTTAAAAATCACATATTTTGTTTTGCTTGTGTTTAATTGTAGCCCATTGGAACTCAGCCATTTTGAAAGCTTTACAAGATAGGCGTTTGCCCTCTCCTCCAAGCATTCTGGAGTTGCTTCACTAAAAAAAAAATATTAGCGTCGTCTGCATACATTAACTCCGGGGAACCAGAAATGCTTACGATATCGTTTATATAGACTAGGAAAAGTAAAGGGCCTAATATAAAACACTGTGGGACACCATGACGCGTTTTTTCCTTATTTGATTCTAGATTGCCAATTTTTACGTATTGTTGCCGATTTGTTAAATAGCTTTTTAGTAATGCGAGCGCGACCCCGCGGATGCCGTAATATTCTAGTTTGTTGAGTAAAATAGGATGCTGAATGGTGTCTAACGCTTTCCTCAAATCTAAAAACAGTCCGAGTGTAAGTAACTTGTCTTCAATATTTACAACCAATCTCTCTTTAATGTCGAGAAGAGCTTGCTCTGTAGATTTTTCCTTTTGGAACCCGTATTGGGCGGTGGAGATTACACTATGCTTTGTGAAAAAAAACTTTCTAGGCCGTTTTTTATTACGCCTTCAAATATTTTAGAGATACTGTTAGTACAGAAATGGGCCTGTAATTTTCGATACTTTTTTTCTACCGCCCTTGTAGATAGGAGTAACTTTAGCCAGCTTCCAATCAGTCGAGAAAATACCACTTTCTAACATGCTATTCGCGAGGTATGATAGTATAGGGCTAATAATTCTAGCTACATACTTGAGTGGTTGAGCCTTCAACCCGTCGTCACTCGCTGCTACGTCTTTCTTTATTTTATCAATGAGCGTTTATATTTCATACATTGTTGTCGGGAAGAACATTATTGAATTTGTTATTTTCGTCATGTGCAGCAAAGCTGCGCTAGGGTGCTTCCCATGGTGTGAGGCTTGTGCCATCTGTGTGGCAGTTCGTATTTTCGAGCAAAGCTTCACAAGGGTGCGACAGTTGTGCCGATAAAGGATAAGTGTCTTTCTCAAATAAAAGGGAGTAAAGCCAGCGAGCGCACGGGTGCAATGTTCAAAACTGGGTCCGAACCCCAGTAAAATTCCTTTTAAGCGTTCTCGGCGATGTTTTCAGCCTCTTTTTCCCGTGACGGATCTGTCGCGCTGCTCTGCCAAGGCTCGACACGCGGTGTCAAATTCTCTGGCGAAAAAGACTCGCTGGAGAATCTTCGCACTTACCAAGAGGCGTCTCGAGAGATCCGGTGGCAGTTTTGCACACGTCTCCCTGACGGCTCTTCCTGCAAGAAGCATTCAAAGAGGTGTCCTTGGTTTTTTTGTTTTTTACCCCCTTAACTGCCATCCTTTCAAGACGCTGTGGAAAACAAAGACAGCGTTGCTTCAGGTGGCTGTTTACGCTGCCAGTCTTCGAGACAGGGCCGGGTTTGACGACGACGTTATTATTATTATTGTTTTCTAGACAACTGCATTCCTGACCCTTCCGTCCTGATTCTTAAAATATTTTCGTTTTCTTTGCAGGCCGATTTAGAAGCTCCAGTCGACGAAGAAGTCGCCATGCCCAAGTTAAAGTCGAAAGTTTTCTGTGAGTTTTCAAATTTCGCACGACACGTTTCTGACAGGCTCTGGAATCACGCGAACAGTGAATTCTTTCTTTGGCTTTTGGGCCGGCTTGTTTGTTGATAGGCCTAATGTGTGTGTGATTAGAAGTTTTTTGTTTTTCTTAACGCACACAAACATTCGGTTGAAAAGGTACTACGATTCAAGCAGCTTCACTTGAATAATAATAATAATAATAAAAATAATAATAATAACTACAATAATAATAAATATTATTGCAGTCTCTTTTTTATATCATATAGTGCATTTTGTCTCACAAAAACATTTTCGTGCTTGAGATCGTGTTTGCTTGACCTTGTATGAAAAGCGGTCTTGGTGATAGCTAAGTTCGTCTACGATTAGGATTCTCTAAGTCAATATTTTCTAGGCCGCTCTGTCCTTAACTTACCATCTATATTTATGGTACTTGGCCTTAAATTATTTTCGATCTCGGCATTATCTCACAAAACAACAAGCAGATGAAATTTGTGTTTTACTTTGCATGTGTGCGAGTTCACCACGTAACAGTGGAGAAATGAAAAAAATTTTTTTTATCAAAAGCCAAACCTGGATTTATTACACAAGCACGCGTATATTGCAACATAAAAAGAAAACTCTACTCTATTTTTGTTTACTTGCCAGAGCCTTTTGAATTTTAGAACACGCGAAGGTTAACATTCCCACAATCTGCGCTGACATTCGTAGCAGCTTTGTATGTAGTATAATACAAGATACCACGAATAAAAGTAGCGCCGAGCAGTCGTTTGCTCTTTTGTCACGATGCATCCAAGTAATATTCCGCGTTCCCTTATCGCTGCTCTTTGAACAAATACCACCGAGCGAGCAATAATGACCCGAAATGGTCCCGCGTAGGCTGCACGCGAGGGCTTCGCCCCACTAGGGCTACAGACAGCAGCTAGCACCGAGTCGCAGAGCCATCAACTCTACATCAGCAACATTCATCCGCGCTCGAGCGTCACCCGCTGAATCCCTAAGGTCGGAGGTTTTTGGCCAAAAGCACGCATCCGCAAGTGCGGAAGCTCCATCGGGTCGTCAGCCAACCGGTTTTGTTTTGTGCGATGTGGCAAAGACATGCTTCCATTTTAAAATTATTAATAACCACGTGCCGAAGGAACTTGGCGCGTACGTCTGAACGGAGCCATGCATGCACACGGCACGCGGAGCAAGTCCACGTGACTCTCAGGCACCCGCGACAACACGGGCCCCCCTAGCTGAGGAGCATTTGGCCCCCTATCAACGCGGCAATTAGGCGGTAAGACACGGTCGCTTTGAAAATGGACCTCCCGATAACATCCTACCTTGCGCACGCCGGTTTCTTCCTAAGAGCGCGCTTCGATAAGGACCCCGTCTGAGTGCGCGGTGTCCTCATTACGGCGCCCGCGGCCGCATGGAGACCCTAAACAGGTTAGTTAGCCTAAGTGCATCTGCATAAAAGCGATCGCTCGGTCTCTGCCGCACACCCGCCATCTCCCGGTGCGGATTCCGCCGATGACGACGGGGGAGACGGCGCCGATAAGCGGACTCGAGCCAATATACCACCGCCTAGAAGACGTGGCCTTTGTCCCACAAACGTCATCAGAAGTGGATCCACGCAGCTCCTCCTATAGTTTGCATCACCATCGTCTTCAGCGTGGTTTGCAGCGTGTCACGACGAGCGCTACAGGCGTCGACGGCAAGACGTCTGCCGCTTTTCTCCGTGCTTGCCGCTTGGTCGGGGATCCACCGACGATGACGTCATGCTCAGGCCTTGTCTTCTAAGAGGTTTTGCCTCACGGCGGCGGCGAGCCCGGGTCGCATTCCCGCCAGTGCGGCGTTAGCTCTCCGAACGGTGCGAGCCGCCAAATCTTCGCTAAACGGATTACGGTCCGCCGATCGGGGACTCAATTGCGGAGCCTTGTGCTCGGCCCAGACTGGCTGATGGAAGCGCCTCTTTGAAGAGCAGAAAGGCCGTGCGCTTTTCTATTAATCACGCGCCGTCGTAAATCAGCCGCTTAATAACCGGACTCTTTGCGAATTCTGCGGTCGCTCGCTCGCGGTGTGCCGGCGTTTGGAGGCGCAATGTCGCGCCGCTTGGACGACCGCTTATCTGAGTGCGAGCGGCCCAGCCTATACTCGAGTAATGGATTACTTCTTAATAATGTCGGGCGATTGCACTTTTCGGACTGTGTCCGCGGTATTGGTAGCTTCGTTAAGCTCTTCATGGTTTAGGAACCATTAGGGCAGAGAAGGGAAAGCACGCGAATTAAAAACAACGCTCGGAGGCGGTTTTTGTTGCTTTCGGTTGATTCTTGCGAGATTATAGGAACAGTGAGGAGTGCTGACCTCCACATTCTCGCATTTTATGCTCGTCCTCAAAAAGTAACGACTGAAGAGGAGCCGCGTTTCCTCACGAGCCTCTCTTCCACCGCCCATTTTGTCTATCTGCAATCACCAGATAATAGAAAGGGCATGCGCTAAAAAGTGCTCCCGAACGGAAAATTCGGATCTGTTTTGCAAAATATAATGTGCTTTCCAATATTTATATAGATTTACTTTTTTCAAATAAAACAAAAAACTGGAAGCTTTTTTTTTTTTTAAATTTGCTAAAAGGAGTTCGACAGTACCTTCCTGTTCATAACTTTCTAGCGTTTGCGCGAATGTCGCTTACAGCGTAAGCCACACTTGGCAGATCCACTCGGCGATATTGTTGTCGGGAATTCAATTATATTTTCGATTTGATGAGGCGAACAATTTGTTTCCACATTCAGGGACAGACTACTTCAGACTGAACGTATGAGTAGAATGAGTTGTATAGAGTCTGCCATTATAAGATGTGTAAGTAATTCATGCCAAATTAATTGTCTTCGCGAATCCCGGGTTAAATAAACTGTACGTAAGTTTTCGCCGACACATTCTACGCGTGGCATCCTGCTGTCAGTGACATAGGCGCTCGCTTGCTTAATTATTTAAAAACTCGTCTATTACCTAGCATGGGATGCTGCAAAGCACTATTGCGAACTCCGCGTTCTTGGACGTGTCTCGGTTGTTTGAGCGTTCGCGCAGCGGGGAGCAATATTCTTAGATCTACTAAAAGATGTACCGGTTGACAAGCTCCAAGGAAGCAAGGAAGAGCGGCGTTCGGAAACGGTTCTTCTGTTTCCTGCACGCGAGCCGGTACGGGCGGATAGCTTTCCTAGCGCCACCCGCGTCAACGCCTCTACGGGCCACGAAGAACCGTTTTCGAAAGACGCTCCTTTTGCGCCGGCTTTTGCCAAAAACAAATTGTTTTACCATAAAAACCACGAAATAATCAATTTCCACAGCAGGTAATGTGCATCGAACGTTGCATTGGTTCTGCCGCTTCTGCTACGCTCACACTTACCGCTCATTCACACTGGAAGCGGATCCGCGTTCGCAAAGCGGTTGCGAACGCGGTTGTATAAAGATCCCGTACAATTGCACGCGCACTTGATGGTGCGCGTGCAATTGCTAGAATTAACATCCGGTTATTTGCTTGGAACACGCTCTAAGCCTGTGTCGTCACTGAACTCTCGTGTTTGACACTGATAAGGCACGCCCCTCGAAGCAGCATTTGGTTTTCTCCGACCACTTGCAGTGCTTAAGGCAGCTTTCACAATGTCGAGTTTCACCGATCGTTTAGAGTGCCTGAATGTCCTTCTGTTTAGGGTGATGCCATCCTTTGTAGTACCCGATGCCGACAGCACTAGACAGCACGCGCTCACGGAGAAAATACAAAGAAATCGTCGAAAACAAAATGTCGCTGTAGCACAGGACGCGCCAAGAGTGCATGCAAGACACGCTCTTTCACGCGCTTTAGAACAAAAAGTAAAGATAAGTGTTCAGAACAGAGTGGCCAGACGTCATCATCCTAAGCAAAGCGTACAGGAAGGTACCCTACGGTGTTTGTCGCAGCCCTGTCTTCTTACGTTACGTTACGAACGCTTACACATAGAAGGCTCCGGGAAACTTTTCAAAAGGGTCTATTATCATTGTGCGACACTTACTACGCATCACAACAATTTTTAGTTCTAATTTATTTATCTATTTTTAAAACATTGTAGACCTCGAAAAAATTAAGGAACGGTAGACGTGCCATGTCACATTTCCAGCCGTCGTGCGATTCCACAAATAGGCCGCAGTCATCTCCCAAACCAGGGACATTCACGGACGCGCGCGCACACAGACACGGACAGGCGGCGCATGAGGAAAAACCCTTTCGCGTCCCGCGCTGCCGCGAGAAGGCGCTGGGGCCTATCACGTCGTGCTATCTGCCTCCTAATCAAGCTAATGGAACGCGGGGTAGCCGCTCCGGTCAGGCTCGTCGTCGTCCAGCCGCCCCGCTGGAAACGTTCCTCGGAAGGCGGACTCGATTCCATTTTGCGGAGCTGCCTTCTTCGCGATCTGCAGCTATGCGGGGGTCCACCCTCTCTCTCCCCCCGTACGCAATCGATACGTATGGAGCTCATTTCTGCGTTCTATGTATACGCGGGGACGCTGTGCAGCGTGACGCCGTGCTTCGGGGAGGACTCGCGGCCGCAGTCGGGATCGCTTCGGAGACGTTAATGAAGTTAGTGGGCGATTAAGCCGCGCTCCCTTCGTGCAACCCGTCTCAGCTGAGTGGGTAGGCGACTCGCCTTATTAGGACGTCTCTTTGTGGGGCGGCGGCGTCTTCTAGCGTCTGCCCCGAGTCTGCTTTGTTTCTCCATTTGCCTCCAGGTCGACTGGCTTTAGAGAACATTGAAATGCGGCCTGCACGACCAATCTATAGACTGAGACTGGGCATCAACTTGGTTGGCCACACGTTGCCAGACCTAGAGTTTGTTTCCAGAGTGCTGCAGTCCCGGACTGCTTTGAGAACGCGTGGCTTCGTCTTGACTCTCCCGAGTCATTCACAGGCGCTCTGCGTGGGACAAACAAGTCAGACGCTTGCACGAACAGCTCGTTGGAGCACTGCGGAAATTGCGC